CTTAATTGTGGACATTCTTGAAAATGCCCCAAAAATAAATTATAATTTAATGAAAAATAATGGAGACGGCTAAAACTACAACTTTGAAAATATTTTGAAAACTAAAAAAACAAAAAGATTTTTCTTTTATTTTTAATTTTTATTGAAATTCGAAAATTTCAGAAAATTATAAAAATATGTTCAAAATCAACTTCTTAATTTCATAAAAATAAATTACTTTCGGAGAATTATAAAAATATGTTCAAAATTTTAATTTGTTTTCGACTATAAGCTTTTTTTTCAGTGGATTCGATGAGTTTGAACATAAAGAATTCACTTTCTTTAAAATACTAAAAAATGTATTTTAATTTGTAAGGAATATGCATATCAAATCTAGCAATTTGGTATTGTATTTGCTCCGTTTGTATAGCCGTTGAGCGATCTTCATTCTCTCAATTACTTTATTTTATTGTGTTAGTTCGACCTTCATCAACTGATGCTTGACTTTTCACTAAACAAGTTGGATTCTTAAATAACATAACTCGATTAGTTATGAATTGAAGTTCTCATAGAAATTCGATCAAAATGTCATATTCACAAATCACAAAATTTATAGGCCACAATTACACATAAAGTCACAAATCACACAACGATTGCAATCATATACCACACAACTTATGGCTCATAATCATATATTTAAGTGACAAATCAAATAATTAATAAAAAATTTCATTTTAATACTAATAACTAAAATTTGCAAATGCCATTCCAAAGTACGTTTGCTGGGGGCAATGCTTCATATTGAAGATCTAATGTTCTATGACTCAACTGGTGGGGGGACGTTCTCTCATGCAATCTTCAGGTTTATGGAGATGTGTCTTGAGGTAGCAATGGTGACTGAATTTTTTGTCAAACACTTCGCTCGAGCAATTATTCTTTATTCTATCTATATCTTTAATGGCACTTAAAAAAGACTCGAAACAATGTATGTTTCTGCATTTATTGAAACTGAAAGCTTTGACAAGTTTTGCAGCCCGGAGAAGTTAAAGAAGGGGCAATAGTGCTAGCACTGGCGAGCAGGGGCGGACCCAGCACCCGGCCAGCCCCGGCGGTCGCCCGTGCTAGATCCGCCAGGATAGTTTTTTTTTTTACAATGAATAAANTGGCTGCTCGAGCGATGATCTAGTTGTCTTCTGTGCTCATCTGGATCCGTCCGTATTTACCTGAATTCGTGGATATGCCAGTGGACTTGGTCCATCAGCCAACTTGACTGGAGTAAGTAGGAATTCATGTTTTGAGTCGATTTTAGCTTCTCTCGAGGTGGTACTTTTGGATTCACAGGTGAAATGTGTCTCTCTCGCTACTGAATTGAGCAGTTCAGAATCTTCTACCGAAAACATAAATAAAGTTAAAAAATTGACTCAGAAACTCGAGAGTATGCAGAATTTACTCAATCATCTACGAACTCAAATTTAAGTTATATTTTTTCACCGCCTTCAGAAAAATGGAACTGAATGTGTTCCCAAT